CCAGACCGGAATAGGATCGGCTGCTGTAGGCAGCACAACTGAATGGAGACCCATCTATCACAACTTTGGTGCTGCTAGGGTCTATTGAAGTAGTTTTTGAGGCGAAGGATGAAGAAAGAGGGATTTGACTCTTTGTTCTTAACATCGCATTATCCTAGTGTCGTTATTATCTAGTGTTAAAATAATCAGTTAAAACTGCTCATTAATACATTGTAGAGCCCCAGAAAATTACTATGCTGTATTTTTACTATTGGGAAGGCTTTCATTTTATACAGAATTGCATTATAAAGAGTTTCTTTAATTGACCAGACCGAAAGCTTTCTCGTGAGCTGCGTCAACATGAACATCCTATTAAAACCAACAGACTTTATAACAACGATAACCGGCTGCGCCCTTCCGGTGAGATCAACCAATGAACGTATTTGTCATCACTTTCCTTGGAAATGAAAGTCTCCCTGACAATGTTGTCTCGATAGATTTTTCAAAGACCAGTTACTCTTCATATGCATTCTAATTATTTTTTCACTTTAATTATTTTACAAGTGCGTATTTTGCATATTTTTTTAAATTGACTAATTATTTTTTATTATATTTTAGATCACACTTTCTACGATATATCTTCAGCTTCATCTAATGCTATTCTCTTTAAGCTCCATGTTATTTGTAAATATTGCCTGTTCCATCCAGCCATGGCTGAGACTATTATCATGTTTTGCGCCGATCATTCTTTGTATAGATACTTTGGAATTTTGATGTATTTGTTTTATATCATTTTATAGTCAACCGTGCCGATCCATTTGCATACGTTCGCAACATAAGCAACCTGAGTCCGTTTTCAACTATATGTCATTACATAATTAGCTTGATTTCTTTTTTGAGATCTATCAGATCGTCTTTTTCAAATATTTATCTTTTTCTCCTCGAATTTATTCATTTCTATTGCTGTCCTTTTCATGTTTTCAACCATAGATGTATTCACAGATCAGCCATGATACTTGTTATCTGAAATATCCGATTTTATCATTTGGCTTGGCTTTTTTTATTTTCTTGTCTTGGCAAGCGACAAGCCTCTGTTCTGTATCCTCCATCGGGCCCGACTTACAAACTTTCCTTTTCTGAGATTTCAAAAGCCTTTTGTACATTTTTATGCATATTCTACGCAGTTGTACATCTACATGTCTATCTATCCGCCTTAAGTATTTTGGATTCCTGCTTGCTAGACTCATTATGGTACTTTTTCTACTTATTGCATTTACTTCTACATGCTTATTTCTTTAGTGATTAAAATTAATTCAACTTTAAAATCTGCGCGCTATTCATCGCGTTTCCAACCTCGCGCCTGTAGACCTCAGTATCAATATTTGTCTCTCAACTTGTTATTTTTTGCCTTTATTTATTCTACCATATGGCTCATGCTCTTCCTAGTTTGGTATAGGCTGAGCTCCGAAGATAACTTTTTTGCTTAAGGCTTAGATTTTAATCTATCTATGCGGCTTTCTCTGGTGTTATTGCATTCTCTTTCTAAAATAAACTTTCATAAATCATTCTCTTGGGAATTTTCTCCTGTCTTAACTCTCGACATTTTTTTCATGATAAATTAAATCATTTTCATAAAAGCAGTTCAAATCGTAAGCATGCATTATGTATGCACTACAGCTTCAAATCGTTATGGTTATTTTTCTTTTCAAATTTACCTGACGGACTCTATTTTTCGTTCATTTATCCGTTTTTGTCCGCTTACACAATATGCAGACTACAAATAATCTTCACATCATTAATGTACGAGTTTAGCTATTATGGATTATGGTGCTGATTCATATACCCGAGTAGCTGATGCCAGTTATCAGTCCCGCTTAAAGGTGATCTCTCCTTCGCGATGTACTGGAATAACTCATATTAAAAATCATATTAAAGTGATTATGTTGTTCAACTAGTGACTACTCTGAGAGGTAATATTTTCATCTTTGTAATATGGCTCTTTTGTTAGTATAAAAGGGTAGTCAGTTTGGCTAGTGTTAATGGTGCTAGAATGGTGCTCTCTCGTTTCCTTTTGATCGACCCCTGTGTGGTCCGTCTAAACTACTGGTAATGCTCAAATAGAAAGGTCCAGGTCTACGGTGTTTGGATAGTCTATAGTAATTTTGAATAAAGCGAACCATGCTTCGGTTTTGGCCATGTAGCTCGTGGGATTAGTGTAGTGGGGATCTCACTTTTCGGTTGTCTGTGATGCCATTGAACTCGGTATTCTGGCAAACAGATTAGTTTCGCATTTTAACTCCATACAGTAGAATGAGGGTAGCACTAGGCTATGTTGTTAGTTTGCTGGTATATTCTATCTACGTCAAAATGATCGTAAAAGCGAATTTTTGAAAAGTATTATCCTGTCAGCATTCCTTGTGATTCAATTGCGAATTAATATAGAAGTTAACTATATGCAAGCCGGATTGCTGCAGGAAAGTTAGCATATTATTTTTGTTGTAGTTAGATCTTCTTTAGTGCTTGTAAATCATTTAAAAAATTAGGAGGGCATTAATTTTTCAATTGATTACTTTCAAACGTAATGAGGACTCTAATTTCACTCACATCTCGGCCTGGTATAATCGAATTTAATATTCATGATTGGAACGTGGTCTTATTTAGTACGCCTCATGATTTTACTAAACATTTTGCCCTCACAATATGAACTTGCCAAAGTGTTCTAGGATTGTGCAAAATAAAAGCCATATTCTAAACAATTGTCATATGCCTAAAAACTGCGTGTTGACAATGATTTACACAATTCTTAATGTAAATAAGATGAAATGCTCTATTTACAGTGGCATCAATTACGAGATATTCTATCTTCTTAAAAATTTGGCCTTTTATAAACGGAGAATTAGTTATTATAATTCTGGTCCATAAGAAAAACTGGCAAAGAATTCTCGAAAATTTTTTTAAATTGGTAATATTAAATAGTAGAACGTCACTTAAATGAATATGCAATAATATATTTTGAATTATTATGGTGAAAATGAATGATTTATTAGTGGAGGGACAATTTTTAAGCTACTATGCCAAATGCACACAATAATTTTATCGCATTTAATTATATTACTGATGGAGGATAGAATTCCAATTAAGAATTGTGTAATTGAAGGTCCGTCTAAATATGCTCATTTTGTTTGATGATTGCGCAAATAAATAAATAAAACTTAAAATTATAAAGATTATTTCATAATATTTTATTTAAAACTAGTTTATTTTTGTGTTCCTATTCTATTGTGAAATTTTGTTTTTAGGCATTTTTACTTTAAGGCTTGTTTGAGCATATCGCAGACGAAGCTGCTATTTCTGAATGGATCCTTACGAGTCGGAGTCCTCTACCTAGTATTTTTTTATCTATAATTTTTTAGTGTTGAATTCAATTTAGCTTTTATTAAAAAGGGATTTTTGCTTATTAAATCAGGATTTGATAGACAACTGTGTATTTTGCTCGCCCTTCTATTAGTCGTTGGATCATTGAGTAAGCTATCGATTATCCTAATATACAGCCGAATTCGTCACTTATTTTGTGGGAATCTTAGCTAGTGATTATTACAATGTGCTTTCTAAGCGAGATTATGATGGATTTATGAGCAACAATTTCTTTGCCCTCCAGTTTCTTATAACGATCGCATTTGTAGGTTTTTTTTATCTGATTTCCTAAGTGCCTTTCATTGGGCGATTTTTTATGTGGTATTATTTCGCTGCGCATTCGCGAGAGTCTGACGTCGGAAGCAATTCGAAGTTATTTTAAGCAAAACTCATTCTATTCTATTTCTCACTTGAGATCTATCGATAATGCGTAAGTTTAATCTATATTAACTGCAAGCTTTTCAGGGATCAAAGAATCACTCAAGATATCTCAAAGATTTCTTCTATTCTTACAACGATATTACCTTCTCTTGTCATTGATCCATTTACCGTATTATTTTATACTTACAAGACGTTTACGTCGTAAGTCTCTCCTTTGCACATATACCATAGCTCTGGGATGATGGGAGTGGTTGGTGCCTTTGCATTATTCATTGTATTTACAATTTTAAACAAGTTTATTATACACTGGGTAGCGAAATCTGTTTTCACACAGGACAGAAGAGAAGGAGACTTCAGGTACATCTTTTTGGTTGATTTAATAGTCTTTTAAGTTGTTTATATGTGTATTTGCACAGCTTACTTTGATTATTTACATGTTATTTTTAGTTTTACGGCCTAAATGCTTGTTTTACCTTATATTTATCGCAGGTCGAGGTTTATTTCTAAGTTAAAAACGATTTTAATGGCATTATAAAACGTCTATC